AGTAAACACATTATATGATAAGTAATTTTTATCATCAGTACTTGGATTAACATCAATGTATCATCATTTTCGAGCAGTAGTTGATAAAAATGATGAGTATTCTAAGGATGATGTTAATTGGAAAGATAAAAAATGAAGATGAGGATGAGGAGAAGAATACAAAATGTAAATCATTGACTATCAATCTCTTTCCAATCTTAACAAAATTCTGAATCTTCTGAATCATCTCATGAGATGATGATCATGATGAGCATCATCATCATTTTCTATCAAGTGGATCAAGCATAGTATCATGAATATGGTGAATTCCATTTCTTTATTCAGCTCCTTCTCTCTCTCTTTCTCTTTCTGAATTATCATCGTTGAGATAATATGATAAAAATCCAACTTTATCATCAATCGATACGAATGAAAATTTCAGAAACTTTTTTATCATGATTCATGATATTCACCATTTCATGTAATGATATTGAATTCTGATTTTCTGCTTCTCAACCAATACTTACAATTTGCTTATCAAATATAATGACAATCATCTTCATGGACAATATATTATTAAGAATCAATTTTTTAAACTTTTGATTGACAATTTATGGTTAATTTGATTTCGATCAAAATGAAAACTGGTAACATAAGTAACAATATTCTTGATTGTTGTTACAAACAATTCATATGATAAAATGCTGATTGAACATATGATAATGATAGAAGAGAAAGATTTCAAAGAACAGAATTAATTGTTTTACTCTAAATGTACCAACAATTAAATCAATTTATCTAAAAACTAGAACAACAAACTAATCAATTAAATCTAATTACTAAGCTCACAACCTTAACAATTTCCAATCTTATTGAACAATAAGCTAGTTGGAGTTAACAATTAACTGTTATTGTCACTTGATGAAAATTTATCAACCGTTGTATCATTAATTGTAATTAGGATTGAAATTAATTGTTGCTCAATCAAATGAGAAATATAATTCAAATGATCCAAAGATAATCAACAAATTATTAAATAATCAGCAAGATGATGATAATATTTAAACAGCATGAAACAAATGAGAAAAAAACAACAATTTATATTAATAAAAATGATTCAGAATCGTGATTTAATTTAATCAAATGTTTGTTTTTCCTTGATAATCAGCATATATAAAATACTATGAGAAACAATCAACAAACTTTGAGGGAAACAAAACATCATCAGAACTTTTCCTCAGGAATCTTATCAAGATTCTGATTGTTTGGGTTCTAATACAATTTGATTAAATTACTTAAGAATCAGTGAAAAGATGTCAACATATACATGATATAATTAATGATATCATCAATGTTTAAATGCTACAAAGAGAGAGAGAGAGACAACAAATTAAACTGCAACGGTAATGAACGGAATGAGGCCACAATCAACTGAACAAGAATCAGAGTGTTCTAACCATTAAATTCAATCGTAACAATTATCGTCATGGATTTAGTTTGAATTTGGACATGAGTATTCACTGAGAGTTACTTATAAGAGAGATAAAATTAGGAACCTGAAGAAGGTTCAATCGATTAGGTTTACTTGACAATCGATCGTTGAAATAAGATTAAGAAAGAGGAAGATGAAGATGAAATGAAGATAAGGATGTAGAAGGAGAGGAAAAGGATGATGAAGATGATGATGGTTAGATGAAAAGAAAAGGTATTAGATGAGATAGAGATACGATTGATTAAACAGTGATCAATGAATTGAATCAACTAACAATTAAATTAGATTTTTCTGTTTGCTACCAATTGTAATATGGTAATATTATCATTCTTTCAATTATCCAATTGTAACTTCTCAAAGTTTATACATCTAATGAATCAGAATTAATCAGAAGAAAAAAATTGATCAAATGTTACTCTAATTACTAAGGGATAAATTTCAAGGATAATATCATCATGGAAGATGAAAAAGTAACTCAAATATTGAAATGCATGACAAAACCCTATTATTATCAAACCATTGCACTGAAAATTTCATAACAGTAAAAAAATAGTTTGACAATTTTCATCATAATAATTGAAGATGAAAGCAAATTGTTATTATAAATATTTTCACTCATCAGAATCAATTGTCTTCATGGTGATGATGATGATGATATTGTTCAGAGATATAAATGAATCAGATCAAGAGAAAAAGTTCTGGTGATTATGTTATCCTCATCGCCTACACATTAAGGTTGTAATTGAGATGATGATGATAAGGATTTTCCTTAATCTTTTCAGGTCAAATTTCAAAGATTATATCTACTTTTTCTGCTCATCTCACCAAAGTAACATCATTATCATCAGTGAAAACGATTACTCTTTTCATCTTAATTTGTTAATCATAATTAACTTTCAATACAACAAATTATTGTAGTAGCAGTTTTATTTATTGTTTTCACCAACATCATTAAACTTATTGTACCATAAATTATATAACAAAATTAGTTCAATGAACTATTAATACACTGAAATAACGACGATCAGCCATTGATTTGATTCAGTGTATAAATATTAGATTATCATCCTAATCATCTTAGTGTCTCTTTTGCCCAATTAATTCATTGTGGTAAAATCGACAGCAAATCATTAACATTGATATAAATGTGCCCGGTAAGCCTCCAAATGACCTCTGGACGGGTTCCTCAAGGAAATGATCCCATTGACCTTGAAATTCAGAATTTTTTAAAGCTCAAAAGAACCTAAAAATCAGCTGATCAAACGTTAATAATTTTCTTTTTCTCATTGATGATGAAAATTGATCAGTAAATCAATGTAAAGAATTGAATTTTTAATCGTAACCAGAATCTAATCTTCATCAACTCCCACTGAGAACATGTTGATTACTGATCAGTCATTTGATTAAGAAATTTTTTATTGATTACTGTTAATGGAAAAACTGGATTAGGAAGAGGAAAATGTTATATTTTTCAATGTTAATCGACAAATTATGTTCAGTGTGATTAATTTAATTGTGAAAACCAAGAAGTTAAATCAATAATGAAAGTGACCTTCAGCAATGAAAAGTAGTTTTGTCAAATCAATAACAGTTAAAGTTTCAAAAACAATGTATCAATAGAAACAGAGACCAGAGACAATCAATTAATTCAAAACTAATTATCATTAGTAAATTTATCAATAGAAATGAAGATTGAACAATGATCAAGATAAACATGAGAAATTAATTCCATATCATGTTTTCATTGTTGATCCATTTCCAATGATTCAGAATTTCTGAATTTCTCTCATGAAAAAAGAAGAAAAAAAAACTCCCTGATGATGATAATCATCATCATCCTCCACTGATAATATTTTTCTCCCTCTCTATATATAATTTTGCTTCTAAAGTTTCAACAGTAAATCATTGTTACTGTCTTTTCATCTGAACCTTGTCATTCAGAAGTTCTGGTGTCTTCAGAATCATATCAATTCCTTTTGTTAAGATTATTTCTTTTTGCTTCGAATTTTTTTCTCTTCTTCTTTTCGAAACTTTTTCTTCTTCTTCCTAACTTCAAACATCTTCTTCATCACAATCAACATTGAATTACTTGGAACATTTTCTTCATTTCATTCGTCATCATCTTCATCTTCATCTTCATCTCTTTTCTTTTCCCTGTGTCTGTAGATGATGTCTTTTTTTCTGTAGCAACTTTTTGCTTTCTTTTGATGGGTTTTTTATTCACTATTTGTGTGTTGTTGTTTTGATTTAACTGCTTTTGATTGACATGCTTTGAATTAGCATCATTCCAAACAATTAAATGATTACTTGGTCTCCAAATTGGCCAATAATTATCAATTTGAATTAATTGAGTATTTTTCTGTTTTTTGCTCATCTCGTTTACCTTAATTTTAAAAACAGTAGATCAAGTTGATTGTTGTTGAGTAAATTGTTAGATTAATTAAGGTCATTGGCTTGCTAAGGATAATTAGAATGTTGAAAATACTTTGTTAAGGCTTAATGATATTGTAATTTGGATTTGATTGTTGTGGGTAAAAGTAGAGAATGAGAGATTATCATGATGGATAATTATATTCCATAGCCAAATGATATCAGAATCATGAATATTATACTAGATTTGATTGTTGTTGGATGAAGATGAAGGGAAAATTTGTTGGTGATAATCATGATGATGATAATGATTGGATTATGGCCAAATTTATTAACATAGACAAGGTTTTCACTTGGAAACTATTCCGGAATCATCCTAAGCCTAACTTGACTTTGGGTTGTTGTTGATAATATAACAACAAAAGGAACCAAAAATTAGGCTTCTCATCTTGCTCATCATCATCTTCATCATCCCAAGTAAAATTTGATCATATTACTTTGGCATATCCAAGCATCTTCATCAGTATTATTTTCATCTGAAGGATGAAACAAAATTATGTCATCAACAAAAACAGTTCCTTTGATTGTTGAGAAAATTTTATCAAATACTTATCAGAAATTGATTGTGGCTTCCAATCAACAATTAACTGTATCAGTATTGATCAGATTATATTCATTAGATTGACATTTTATTGAATTAGTTTCTATTGAGAAACAAAAATCACATTTGAACTTTGATATTAAGACGTTTTATAATTAGCATGAAAAAAGCAACTAATTGTAATAATCAACAAAAAATATAATTTATATTAATATAATTACAATGAACAGCATAAAAAAATACTAAATTGTTTCTTTATGCCTCAAACAGTTAAAATCAACTAATGGTTAATTTGTTTGGACGGTTAACATTTTTGCTACGTTGATGGTTATGATAACAATCAACTTGAGCATGTAAATTGTTTGAATTTATTTACTGTTGATACCTTTTTAATTCAACTAATGATGCTAAGGTAATTACTAATTAATCATATCAAATTAAATTGAGTGAGACTATTTGAAAATCAATGATGATTCTGATAAATTGTCATTTGTTCAACGGAAACCTTATCATTATAAGTTAATTGCTAAGAAAAGTTTAAGATTTTAATTGACTTACCTCAGATGATGTTAAATAAGCTTTTGAATCTGTGCTCTCAAAGGAAGCTTGAGCCACCATAGAGCCAGGGAACAATCCGCCGGGTCTACCAATTGCATCGGCTGATAGAGTATCCAAAAGGTGGGGAACAGAACTTTTCTTCAACACTGAACATAAATCGGAAGCTGAACTTCCCTGAAGACTTGGAGGTGGAAGTGAAGTTCCCCGGGAGGGAAGTGTGTAGCTTCGGGTCCAATAAGGTTTGTTGACCAAGGAAGATGATCGAGAGGGAAATTGATTAGGTTGGTGGTGGGTTGATGCTGAGGCGAGTTGATGAATGGAAGAGGAGGAATGATGGTGGGAAAGATGTTGATTATGATGGTGGTGGGCATGATGAAGGGAGTGGTGAGAACCACCCATAGAACCAAAAAGTGGGGCATGATGAGGACCAGAAGATGTTGGAGTAGAATGAGGAGCGATAAATGCTGTTGGATCCTCGGTAGAGCGATATTGTTGCTCTTCACGACGAATAGCGTCCAGTTCATTTTGAACCTCTCTCATTAGGCTGACGACATTTTCCATCGATTGCGATAAAATGTTCTCAAAGGTATTCAATGAGTAAGTGTCAGCATCACATCCTTTGGCCAGTGCGTTTCTCAAGTGAGTCTCATACTCTTGGAGGAGTTTAATTGTTGGTGACGAGGGACGTTTACCACCCACCGTCATATCACCTCCAGAAGCTGCGACCTCTCGAGTAACCGCATCAACTTTGGCCAATAGTTTGCGAACTGAGGCTGAACCTTCATCACCTGAAGATGAGGGAGTGGGTGTGGTTGCATAACAACGAACCGCATTATCGGACAAATAATGATCTGATGGAGGTGATTGATCAGTATAATCAACACACTGGGTTCGTTCAAGTGACCGCCGTCGACTAACCTCTGATCTGTACGCACGAGAACGTTCAAGGGCATCTTCACGTCGACTTAATCTCATGGTTCCATGTTGACCCATGACCCCACCCATTAAGGTGATACCATCATCGGAATAATTCCAGGCTGGAACTGAGTTGGGTCGAGTGAGAGTTCGTTGGAGTAGATTAATCTCCCGACGACCAGAACCACCGCCAACCGATGTTGATGTTGATGTTGTGATCGTGTTAACACCAGTTGAGGACATTTTAGTTCCACCGCTTTCATGACCATTACCTGGAAGTGGATGTAACATACGTTTTAAAGTGTTAGCATCTAAAAGAAGATCATCAGTTCCCGTTGCAACGGTTCGACGAACATCGTCTGAACTTTTACTTCGAGATTTGATATCAGCGGACTGTGAGTAATTAGTAGAGTTAATTGTATTATTATGAAGATGATGATGGTGGATATTGCTGTTAGTTGTGTTGTGATTATTATTTGAAATTATCATTCGTTTACCCGTCATATGTCCCATTGAACCACTTTCAGCGGATCTTAAGCCACCGTGTGTGTCCATTGGATGATGATTGGAACGAAGATGACCCATGTTCATCATTCCATCATTAGGATGACCACCGCCAACACCACCTGATCTATCGTGATATTGGTAAAGGGTTGAGTCCATCGAACGGGTTTGTTCCTTTCTCACTGAAGATGCATATTGAGCACGTGAATATTGAGCATTACGATTATTAGGGATGGAGGAAGTATGTTGTTGTTGTTGTTGTTGTTGTTGTGGGTGATGTTGATGAGCGAGTTGTGAAGATGAGCTGTGTTGTTGTGGGTGTTGAGGGTGATGATGAGGTTGTTGATGGTGTTGTTGTTGTTGTTGTTGTTGTGAGTGGGGAATTGATCTTCCATCAGCAGTTTGAGCAAGATGATGACTTCGTCCGGAGGTAAGAGTCGTTGATGTTGCGCCTGATGAAGGGTGTTGCTGTTGCTGTTGATGGTGCTGTGGATGTTGTTGACCAGCCGAAGCCGGTCTACTTCCACCACTAGAAACTGGTCGACCTTGTTGACCCGCGGCTGTTGCAGCGGCGTGAACAGAAGTTGTTGATGGATAAGTAGTTAAACCGGTGGCATCGTGTCGGAAAGCAGATTTTGGCATAGTCGATGAACCTGTGTACCTAACGCGACCATTGCGTTGTTTGTGAAGTGTATCAGCAGCCATGCAGGTACATTGTAGCTCAGAAGTGTTATAACCTCGACGGGATGGGGAAGATGGAGTTGACTGAGGTTTACGTTTACCTGCACTAAGAGATTTATCTGCTGGACCAGTAGCTGTACCTCCGGCTCCTCGTTTAGAGGGAGGTTCATTTAGACGTAAAGAGTAGGATGAAGATGCTTTTCGTGAGATCTTGAATGAAGGTGAACATAGAAGACGAAATTGTTTCGCATCATCAGATGAGGTAAAATTTAATCCCCAAGTATCACCGGTACCAACATCTTTCCAATAAACGAAACATTCTGATGCTTGACCAAGTCGAGTTCCTGGTTGAGCTAACCGAACGTCCAAAATTTTCTCAACCTGTGAATTGTAGGCGGTAATCTGGAAGATACACTCAGGTGAATCTTGTATACAAGTTATATTAACCGGAACAAGGTCCGAAGTGACCTGTTGCCAACGAATAGCACCTGATGCCGCCGAAACATGGAAAACCTCCGCCCAGAGACGGAGTAAATGTCCATCACGTCGACGTTGCTGTTGGTAAGGCTGTTCCTCATATTGATAAGCTTTTTTAATCAACGGGGCACAAGAGCAGCTTAACTTGTTACCCATTTTATTGGTAACAACCTGAGGATGAGTAACGGCGGTAACGGTGGTGGTAACGGGACGCGAGGGCGCCGTTTGTTTCGGGTTACTGGTTAATCTCTTCACTTTGTTTCCGATTTCCGCTGACTCTTTTTCCACTCGGCTTTTAATTACGTTTTCTTCTTCTAGATCTACTTCCCTCTCTTCAAGGAGATGAACCAAATTGTGGTAACTCTCCTGTTTCCGCCTCCGACACAAGGTATCACAATTTAAACATAGGAAGACACAAAGACAACACACAATTAGCACTTAACTGAAAACTGGTTCATTTGATGTTTGGCTTTTGGAAGATTTTGTTTATCTTGATCCTCTTTACGTGTTTTGGATTAACATTTCAATTTTAACCAGAGAGAGAGAGAGAGAGAGAGAGAGAGAGATAAAAATATACAAAGAGATAGAGATAAAAAAAATTCTGGTTAATTAGCTGAAAGTATCATGTTAAAAAATCCAAAAGATGATGATGATGATGAGATTTACACAGAAGGAAGAGATTTGTAAGAGATGGTGAGAGAGTAAATGTTGCTGGTAATAAGGAATAATCAATAATGATTACAGTAAGTCTGAGATGATGATGACGATGATAATGATGAGGATTAAGGTGAAGAAGATGAGGAGGAAAAAAAATAGAAAGGAGAAAAGGTAGAGAATAGAAAGACGAGCAGAAGATAAATAGAGAAGAAAAAAAAAGATTCGATTAAGAGAAAACAAAAAGGAGAGAATTTAAAATGGAAATAAAAACCACAGAAGGAGAAATAAAGACTTTGGGAGAATATTAATTGTTGATAATACGATGATGATCGAAAAATACTTACGGTTTATTTAGCTGATTGACTTCATTGGAAAAAATTTAACTTCGAAGCTCATAAACATACACACGAAGAAAAGAAAGAGAGAGAAAGAGAGAAAGATAAAGATAAAGACCAAAATTCTCGCGAGAAAAAATAATAAAGGAACCAGGAAGCGAAGGAGAACTCAGATGCAAAGAGAGAGTCGTAAGCATGTAGAAGATGACAGGTTGAGAGAAGAGATGAGGATGAAGATGAAGATGCTGATGATGAAGATAAGGTAGTTAAGGGGAGAGAGAAATAAACGGAGGCAAGAGAGAGAGAGAGAGAGAGATGAAGATAAACGTTACTTACTTTTCTCTTTCTCTCTCTCAATGGAAAAACAAAACAATCGTTTTCTTAGAAAACTTTCCAACCGATAGATGGCAGCACATGAGTTCTATTGATTTCTATTAACAATTAGTTGATTTTTCCAATAAAATGGTTAATCATCTTGATTTTTTTCCAATATCATTTCAATAAATTACTGTCATGGGACAGAACTTATCGAAATGATCTGAAGGAGAAACTATTATGAGGTGAGAAAATTGTTAATCAAATAATGAAAGATTTAAGTTGAATCGATGAAAAGAATCAATTTAATTAAAGTTTTCTTTGCATACAATTAGTGTTATTGATTAATAAGCTTTGCGTTCAAATTGATTATGCAATAAAATAACTGATACAATTAACGTAGATCATCATTAGACCAGAGATCACCTCTAAAAGAAACTAATCAATAATCGGATTAATAATTAACGATTTTCTCAATTCAATGAACTTACTTTTAAGAAAAAATCTTTCTCGATTGTGCAAACATCGCCAATCTTAATACCATTGTATGGGCCAATTGAACGATCCATTATCTCGAGAATCTGAATAATTAAACGATCAACAATTAGTAGAATTATAATAATCTGATGATTACGATTTGATTATTGTTTTTACCTTTAAACTTTTATTGATTGGAATAGTATTGTGATATTTAATTTTATGGAATTTTTTGTACAGACAATCAAGCTAATTGTTGTTATGGTGGACAGATATAGATGTATATGAGATTAGAGAGTAAATCAATTAGTAGATGGATTAACCTTCTCTTACCTGAAAGGTGAAATCAGTGCAAAGGTAACTTCCAAGTCCAACTAGTCCGAAAAAGAAACAATCAAATACGATTATCACAAGAGCGAAATAAAAGTCGACAATTAAGATGATAAACAGACAAATTTCAGCTAAAGCGATCGCAACGGTAAAGATGAAGAGGAGAAAAGACTTAGCGAGCCTGGCGAGCTCTTCGAACTCATTTAGATTGTCAATTAAATTGCGAATTAAATTATTGACATTTTCTAGACTGTAATGGTTAGTAACCCAATTCGCTTCATCGACTACTGTATGTAGCCGATATCGACACAAGATCGCAGCCAAATAAACATAACCACTTATTCCGAATAGTATAACGTATAAAATAATTCCGATGAAACAAACGGAGATTGACCAGAGGGCCACGAAGAGGACGAATTCAGGGTTGATATATGCCTGTGGATTAGTGAGAAAGATTGTGAACCAAAAGCTAAGGGAAATTCCAACGATCAGAAAATAAGCCCAATTGTAGAATTTAAAAGTCACATGGATTAGAATACGAAAGATTTTCAATTGTTTCTCGTTCATTTTAAGATAATCTGCTTCGAATCCTCGAACTTTAATTCTTTCTAAAAAGACTAAAGAATATAACTTTCCGGTGTATTCTAAATAGTGAATGTATTCAAAACCAATAATTCCAACAATAAGAGCAAATAGCAGAACGCAATTAACTGGTAGTCGGTAATTAGATTTATAAACAATATCTCCTAAATATATTTGCCATTGATCATTGGTGATAAATAGTAAACTTAATAATCTAATCAATTGTATTGTGTAGTTTAGTCTGATTAGTAAGATGATTAGATCAAATTTCTTGACGGATTTGTAATGATCACGAGCTAATTGTTCAGGTTTAGGTTTTGAACAATTAATGTCATATTGGTTGAAACCGTTCATTATTACTCGAAATTTTTTCGTCAAATGTTCAAATCGTTTGCCTGCTTCGATTGTTGATTCATCTTCATCGGAAATTGTGAATATTTTTTTAAATATTCCAAGGAAAATTTGATAAAAACGATCAAAAAGTTTATTTAATTTCATTGATAACAATTAATTTCTTTCTTTTAATCAAAGAGTACACTCTTTCTATCACTCTTATTGATAAATTTAAACTAAGAATTGATCAATATTCATCATTGATTGTATTTTATTCAATAATAAAATCAGAATCATTTTGACACAAAAAAGTAGCACCATCTATTGAATGGATCATCATTAGCTCATTTTATTAGTAATTTATTGATTAGCATTAGCAGAACAATTAAGAAAAAGTAGCCTCCAATCACGATAACATTATTGAGAAGGTAAATCCCAGTGAAACACAAGGAAACTGACCAGAGTGACCCAGAGAGCGCTAATATTGGATTCTGATAGATCTCTGGGTTGATGAGCATCACAATGTAATAGAATGATATTGTGAACGGAATAGTTGTCAGCATTAGTCTATTGTAGAAGGTGAAAATCATGTGAATTAAAACTCGAAATTTAATTAGTTGATTGGAATTGATTTTCAGATATTCAGTCTGCAATCCTCGAGTTTTAATTTGCTCTAAAAATATGTAGTAATATCCATGTCCAATTGACTCGAAGTACAAGAAATGTTCACGAGTACCGATTCCCGTGATCAGGCCAACAAGTACTAAGCAATTAACTGATTGTCGTTGATTTGATTTATACATAATATCATTTCAATAAATTACTATCATGGGACAGAACTTATTGAAATGATCTCAAGTAGAAACTAATATGAGGTGAGAAAATTGTTAATCAAATAATGAAAGATTTAAGTTGAATCGATGAAAAGAATCAATTTAATTAAAGTTTTCTTTGCATACAATTAGTGTTATTGATTAATTAGCTTTGCGTTCAAATTGATTATGCAATAAAATAACTGATACAATTAACGTAGATCATCATTAGACCAGAGATAACCTCTAAAAGAAACTAATCAATAATCGGATTAATAATTAACGATTTTCTCAATTCAATGAACTTACTTTTAAGAAAAAATCTTTCTCGATTGTGCAAACATCGCCAATCTTAATACCATTGTATGGGCCAATTGAACGATCCATTATCTCGAGAATCTGAATAATTAAACGATCAACAATTAGTAGAATTATAATAATCTGATGATTACGATTCGATTATTGTTGTTTTTACCTTTAAACTTTTATTGATTGGAATAGTATTGTGACATTTAATTTTATGGAATTTTTTATACAAACAATCAAGCTAATTGTTGTAATGATGGACAGATATAGATGTATATGAGATTAGAGAGTAAATCAATTAGTAGATGGATTAACCTTCTCTTACCTGAAAGGTGAAATCAGTGCAAAGGTAACTTCCAAGTCCAACTAGTCCGAAAAAGAAACATTCAAGTATCACAAGAGCGAAATAAAAGTCGACAATTAAGATGATAAACAGGCAAATTTCAGCTAAAGCGATCGCAACAGTGAAGATGAAGAGGAGAAAAGACTTAGCGATCCTGGCGATCTCTTCGAACTCATTTAGATGGTCAATCAAATTTCGAATTAAATTATTGACATTTTCTAGACTGTAATGGTTAGTAACCCAATTCGCTTCATCAACTACTGTATGTAACCGATATCGATACAAGATCGCAAACAAATAAATATAACCACTTGCTCCGAATAGTATAACGTATAAAATAATTCCGATGAAACAGATGACAATTGACCAGAGGGCCACGAAGAGGACGAATTCAGGGTTGATATATGCCTGTGGATTAGTGAGAAAGATTGTGAACCAAAAGCATAGGAAATTCCAACCATCAGAAAATAAGCCCAATTGTAGAATTTAAAGATCACACGGATTAGAATACGAAATTTTTTCAATTGTTTCTCGTTCATTTTTAGATAATCTGCTTCGAATCCTCGAACTTTAATTCTTTCTAAAAAGACTAGAATATAACTTTCCCGTGTATTCACAATAATGAATGTATTCAAAATCAATAATTCCAACAATAAGACCAAATAACAGAACGCAATTAACTGGTAGTCGGTAATTAGATTTATAAACAATATCTCCTAAATATATTTGCCATTGATCGTTGGTGATAAATAGTAAAATTAATAATCTGATCAATTGTATTGTGTAGTTTAATCTGATTAGTAAGATGATTAGATCAAATTTCTCGACGGATTTGTAATGATCACGAGCTAATTGTTCAGGTTTAGGGTTTGAACAATTAATGTTATATTGGTTGAAACCGTTCATTATTACTCGAAATTTTTTTGACAAATGTTCAAATCGTTTGCCTGCTTCGATCGTTGATTCATCTTCATCGGAGATTGTGAATATTTTTTTAAATATTCCAAGGAAAATTTTATAAAAACGATCGTTAAGTTTATTTAATTTCATTGATAACAATTAATTTCTTTCTTTTAATCAAAGAGTACACTCTTTCTATCACTCTTATTGATAAATTTAAACTAAGAATTGATCAATATTCATCATTGATTGTATTTTATTCAATAAAAAAATCAGAATCATTTTCACACAAAAAAGTAACACCATCTATTGAATTGATCATCGTTAGCTCATTTTTATTAGTAATTTATTGATTAGCATGTTGATTTAATATAACATATAAAATTAATGTAAACCATCATTAGACCAGAGGCAATTTCCAAAAGAAACTGTAAGAAATTAACTCGAAAAAGTTACAAACACTCGAGTGTTTATTAGTAAATTAAACTCACTCGTAAATAACTATCTTCCTTAATTGTCACTAAATCAAATTGTTCACATTGGACGAAGTCTCAAAGCGCTCGCAAGAGAAACAATCAGCTTCATCGATAATTTTACTCAGACGGAATCGAAATGACAGAACAATTAAGAAAAAGTAACCTCCGATCACGATAACATTATTGAGAAGGTAAATCCCAGTGAAGCACAAGGAAACTGACCAGAGTGACCCAGAGATCGATAATATTGGATTCTGATTTGTTCTAAAAATATGATGTAATATCAATGTCCAATTGATTCGAAGTACAAGAAATGTTCACGAGTACCGATTCCCGTGATCAGGCCAACAAGTACTAAGCAATTAACTGATTGTCGTTGATTTATACATAATAACACCTAAGTAGAACTGTAATTGATCATTGGTGA